ACACACACACACACACACACACACACACACACACACACACACACACACACACACAGAGAGAGAGAGAGAGAGAGAGAGAGAGAGAGAGAGTTGCTGTTATGATCGAAGACCATCATTGTGGCGCCCCATGACAGCACACACCTCTCCCATGTGGAGCATACGGCGGGGAGGGGAGAGGCTTTTCTGCATGGTGCAGAGTTTGCTGGTACGACAAGTTTTTGTGTGATGGACAAACGTACGTACATAACAAGCCATGAATGTTAGAGCTGTGCTGTTGAGGCTGATGCAGAAGTAATCTGTGAGCTTACAGGGAAGATGATCGGTTGGTCGTTCTGACGTGGCAGGTGACTTGCGGAGCAGCTGCAGGGGTTGCAGCAGCATTTAGGGCACCGGTAGGAGGGGTGCTTTTTGCTTTGGAAGAGGTGACTTCGTGGTAAGTCTAAATTTCAGTCAAATGTGATGAGATGAAGTCAGATGAACTTACGATCCTTCTCCAATCATGATCTAAAACTCGAGTTTGAGACTATCAAGATCACAACTCAAGAATGAAGTGTCCTTCAGGACATCCTTTAAAATTGGAATGATACAGAGAAGATTAGTATGGCCCCTGCACAAGGATGACACACATAAATCGAGAAATGGTCCAATTCTTTTCAAGAAAAAAAAACAACAACGCAAGAACAAAGTGTACAAGAGGTGTGAGAATACAAGGGAGGAGAAGAAGAAGACTGTCAATGTCAACACCTACTGAGCTTGCAATTAGTCGTATGTCCTCCTGCTCTCTTTATTGTGGAGTGTACCAGGAAATTGAATGAACTGTCTGATGAAACTCCCTTAGCAATGCTTTTGAAACATAACTACTTTCAGCTCTTCTACTATCCCCTTCTGGCAGTACTACTATCAATTCCAAGTCATCCTGCTCTGCAAGTGGGATGTACAGAGGACAACACAATCCCTACTCCTATCTCCTGCATCAGAGGCAGCCATGCAGCTCTCTCGGGTGAAGTACCTGTCCAGTGGAACCCTTGAAGGGCCTTCTTGAAGCAACACCAACCTGACACGCGGTTAACGGAGGGCCAAAAGTTCGCTGTTTTTGCCGACAGTTTCGGTGCAATTTTCAGCAAGAATTGCAAAAACAAACTATATGGGCCCATAATGCAAACCATGGTAACCGCAGACCCGGACACCGGACATTTCCGGACTGTTTTCCGGACCTGTGTCTGGACCGGTCCGGACTGTCCCGTGATCCGGACTGTACCGGACACCCGGACATCACCGGACCCGGACTGTCCGGACCGCCTAGACAGGGACAAGATGTCCGGAAAAAAAAGAAAAAAAAAAAGAAAAGAAAAGAAAAGAAAAGAAACGGGGAGGGAGCTCACCTCGTTCGCACTTCGTGGCGGAGCACCTGCATCAAACGGTCTACAGTTCATTGAACAAGTGGCACACAAAGTTGGACTGTCGGGCAAGCACAGTTCAAGACTTCAAGTTCATTCAASATCAGCAGCATTCAGCAAACACATTCAARTTTAYTGAAAGTYTGAAACACGACAAAGTACAACAAAGACAGACAACGCAAGGRCTTAACAAGRCACATTCAAGTTGATTCAACAAACACATTCAAGTTGATTGAACAAACACACTCAACAAACTTGAAAGACTTCAGCTGTTGAGCGAATTCAAGTTTCAA